CCCACCCCCCACCTCTCTAGATCTACGACACGTATATTATTTTTAAAAAACCCAACTTGACAACGACATTGTGTAAGAAATCATGAAGTCACCCTGTTTAAGACGACCACATTTCTCCGCATTCCCCAAATATGAATGACCGTCTTTGACAGTTTTGGCGGTTTCTGCATAGATCTAGATCTAGATCATCTAGATCAAGTACATCTAGAATCTAGATCTAGATTAGAATCTAGATCTCTAGATCTATACATCGTAGTTCAAGAAGTAACACGCAGATAAAGAGGAAACTGAGAACAAAAACATGCGTCAAGCTTACAAGTGTGTCAGACGACCGCCCCCCAAAAAGTACACACACACACGCTGTGCCGTTGATTTGATTGATACTAGAATCTAAATCAAAGTCAAATTTTCACAGATCTAGATCTAGCTCTAGATCTATCAACAAGATTGAAATTGAACGACTTGCCTCTCAACGATCCTTCACGTAAAATCCATCGATCCTTTCCGAAACAAGTTTTTTAAAATCTATATTTTTTTTAAAATCTAATCTAGATATCTAGATCTAGATTCTAGATCTAGATCTAGACTCTAGATCTAGATCTAAATTTTAAATATAGGCTAAAATTTTAAAAAATAATAAACCCCGAAGTTTTTGCCTGACAATCCGTCCAACAGAAATGTTCGACCTTTTTTCTCAGCACACAGGATACTAAGCTTACTAGATCTACTAATCCAGATCTACACACCTACACACCAACACACGATGATATAAAGTTATACTCCGAGGAGAGCAACAAAAGTACACACCTGTGTCGAACACACGACATATTTCTTGACACACACACACACGCACAGCACAGAGAAATCGAAGCATTCACCACAGCACACACCTCGCCTCCTTTAGGAAGTCACACCGTAACGCCAAGTCTGTGTGTGTGTGGGGAGGTTGAATTTGGCAGGGTAAAATTAAAGTTATTCTAAATGACATGTTAGTAGGAAGAACTTCAACAAAAGCAACAACACAAGGAAATAAGTTTAAAATTAAATGCATCAAGTTTATTGCCTGCCGTAACATTCAGTCATTTACTCGCGAACATGCAGAGACCATGCAAATAATGTTTTAAAAATAACTTACTTAATGATACAACAAATGGCATATAAACACATCATGTCACAATAATATCACAATATGAACATGAATTATTTCTTTATTTAAGTGAAAATTCTTAAAGCATCACCATGATCCCTCGAAAATGTCATAGTAGTAAAAATTTTGTAATACCAACATGATGCCCAAATGCCCAAAATTAAAAATGTATTTCATTAGCAAGAGTCGAAATACTCAAAAATAATTTAAAAGAAGTGTGTCAATGTGAAATTAAAAATTTTTCCAATTCTGAGATGGATAAAAATCTACAGCACTGCAACACTCAAAGATGTGTATACAAATATTACACCAAATTAAAAAATAGGACCTCATTGTTCTTAAATCTAGCTTGATCTATTTAACCTCAAAGCCCCATCTGTTTACCTAGCTAGACCAGAAACGAGATACATCGGACAGACAAAACGAAAAACCCAAACCAGAGATTCGAAGGAAGACCTGTCATGCTCTTTATTTGAGCCTTCATTTTGTCCTGACTGAATGTACGAACACGCCTCATGTGGGGTCTATATCGCAAAACTCCATCGGGACAACAGTTCTGACATACTCAGCGAACATACTTTTGTACTTTGTAGCTTTTATTTAATGATAAAAAGAGATACCAGTGCTTCTCAAAACATTTTTTAAAAATGTGTTATTATAATACCCCTATGGACACAATTTATACTAATGCTTCAAAAATGATGTCTACGACAACAACACAGAAACCACACATAGTGTGTAGTTGTGGAAACATTGTGAGCTGTTAGCCTACTCCTTCACCTGACACACACACTGTGTAGTTGTGAGCCTACTCCTTCACCTGACACACATAGTGTGTAGTTGTGAGCCTACTCCTTCACCTCACCTACACACACTATCTTCACTCTAAGGGAAAAATACACAGCAACGCTTTACTATTTCTCTCTGATGGACATTCATTGACAAATGTATAAAACATCACTATCTATCACCACTAGAGAAGGACAAAACAGTAATTAAAAATCCATTAAAAATTCATAGTAGTCCAAAGAAGCACAAAAGTAAAAGTGTTTTTGTAAGAGCTGTTATAATAACTTTAACATTTGAAAGGAGTGTGCTAGCTTTAAAACAAAATTCCTTCAAATTCTGAGATGAGGGGGATGAACATTCATCACACATGGCAAGATTCAAGAATGTACGCAGAAATTAATATATATAACACCTGTTAAAAAGTAGAGGATACAATTGTTCTTCAATTCAGCTGTCTGCTTTCATACAATAAAATCTTGGTCCAAGTTAAAAGACTAAAGTGTTGGAAAAAATGTCAAATTTCCTCCCATTTTCAGCCCTGTCTCTATTAGACATGAAGAAATGAATGCAAAATTTAAAAGAAAGGGAAAATAACCCAAAATGTCAGAGCCCCCACTGTATATCTAGACCAGAAACGAGATACATCAGGCTGACAAAACGAAAAATCCCAAACCAGAGATTCGAAGTAAGACCTGTCATACTCTTTATTTGAGCCTTCATTTTGTCCCAACCAAATATACCAGACGTCTCACACGGTGGGGTCCATCGCAAAACTCAAGGACAGAGTCCTGAAATTATCAGTCAATACTCTTTTACAAAATGTATTTTGTAGATTGTTCACATTTAAAAAAGAGATGATACCCATGCTTGAAAATGTATTTTTAAGTCATAATAAGTCTATGACAATGACAGAACCTAGAGAAATTACACTGTGTGAAGATGTGGAAACTTATTGTGAGCCTAATCCTATACCAGAGACCCACAAACACTGTCTTGACTCTAAGGGAAAGACACACAGCAATGCTATGACTATTCTCTCAGGTGGAAATACAATCATAAAGCGTGCAGTTCAGTTACTGTACTATTATTCCTAGCAAAAGACTAAGCCAAAGCAAAAAATCCATGAAAAATCTTACATTACAATTCCCACAAGCACAAAAATAAAATGTAAATGAAGTGTGTGAGCTTAAAAACACTTCAGAAGGATGAAAACCTACAGTATTGCAAGATCAAGATGTATAAATATTACATCAATTAAAAAGAGGGACATCACTATTCTTTAACTATTTTACTTTCATACGATAAAAAACTTGCTTCGAATTAAAAGACAAGAGCAGATAAAAATGTCGACTTCTCTCTTGTTTGCAGATTGTTACAGATTGTCTCTATCAAACCTAAAATAAAACTTCAAAGCATACTTCAACTGTATACCTAGACCAGAAACGAGATACATCGGGCAGACAAAACGAAAAACCCAAACCAGAGATTCGAAGGAAGACCTGTCATGCTCTTTATTTGAGCCTCATTTTGTCCCAACCAAAAATACCAGACACCTCACACGGTGGGGTCCATCGCAAAACTCAAGGACAGAGTCCTGAAATTATCAGTCAATACTCTGAACACTTCAGATGGACGAAAACCTACAGTATTGCAAGATCAAGATGTACATGAATATTACATCAATTAAAAAGATGGACATCACTGTTCTTTAACTCTATTTACTTTCTTATTTATATGATAAAAAATTGCTTCGAATTAAAAGACAAGAGTAGAGATTAAAATGTCCACTTCCGCTCTTATAACAGAATGTCTCTATCAAACCTAATAAAACTTCAAAGCCTCCACTGTATACCTAGACCAGAAACGGGATACATCGGGCAGACAAAACGAGAAACCCAAACCAGAGATTCGAAGCAAGACCTGTCATGCTCTTTTTGAGCCTCACTTTGCCTTGACCAATAAATGTATTAACGTTCAACATGGCGCCCATCACAAAACTCAAGGACAGAGTTGTTCTTACATCATCAGCGTACACTCTTATAACAAAATACACTGATAGCTTTTCATATAATAAGAAGGAGATATATACCAGTGTTTCTAAAAAATATGTTTCAAATGTAGGTGTTTATATATGCCCCTCATGACACAAATTAGATCATTTATAAGTGCTTGAAAACTCATATAAAATGACAATGACAGAGAAACCGCACTGTCGGTAGGTGTGGGAACTTGAAAATTGTGTCTATTACAACATGTACCAGAGACACACTGTCTTGACTCATTAGTGCATCCAACATTCCATGCTAGTGTCTCAACTGAAGAGAAATGCACACACTGGCAGTGATATGATAACATCATGCTATCTTGGTTAAATTGACCTCCAGTAAATGGTTAAGATTTATAAGATGGATAACGTGATCATAAAAAACCTTATATTAAACAAAAAACAAAAAAACTGGATATAGATGGTGAATGACATGGAAATTAAAATGAAAAAAACAACTTCAGCATACAAACTAAACAAGGGAAAAAAAGAAACAAAACCTGGAGGACTAATGTCACACACATCATGCAAACAAAAAATTCTTCACTTCTCTTACATTGGATTCAGAACAAACATGTCACATGATGCATGTGAACATCAATCACAAAAGAAATATTCTCTAGATATCAAAGATGACAACATAATGACACTGGACCAGTCAAAACATTCTTGTTTAAAAAAAAACAACTAAGATATATACCACACATTTTCATTTTGCACCCACATGGTATGGTGTATGCCATTGCTAGTGGCATATACTACTTCGTAAGCACACATCACAGAGCTTTTGGAAGAGGTTAAAAATCTGAACACATAGATTCCGCTGCCAACACTGCTGGCCGTGATTGCTTTTGACACCAGGTAAGAGAAAGAGAGAGAGAGATGTCCTGCACACAGACCAAATTATTTCCCTTTATTATGAATGCCTTCCCCTCCACCATTTACCAAACCTTTTGATCAACTCTGCAACTTTCAATGTCTAGAACTTTTAACCTCAAAACTGGACTCTAAATTATCTTTTATTTCTATCTCTGTAAAGAGTGTAAAAAATTTTCAATCAGAATATTAAATTGAATTACTATCAGAAATTATCAGATTATGTGGACAGTATTATAAAAATTATTTTATCATTAAAAATTTTAACAATAAATAATTGTTTTATATTAAAAGCATGTAATTGTGGGCCTATGTGTGGGTATACTCGAGAGAGAGAGAGAGAGAGAGAGAGAGAGAGAGAGAGAGAGAGAGAGAGAGTGTGTGTGTGTGTGTGTGTGTGTGAGTGTGCAAGGCTAACATCAGTTTTAAAACAAAGTGATCTCATCCTTTTAAAACCCTGACATGATGTGTAAACACATGCAGGAAGTACACACATTAGTTCACGCACATTTTGTTGCATTAAAACGTTCCATCAAGACACTGCAGTCAAAGCCGTCTTAGCTGTAACACCTAAACAATTCTCCGTCCTACAGCGCCTTTTTCTTCACATCTATCAAGAGGTGGGTCATTTGAATGGAATAAAAGCTAACAACAGACGATCCAATGTTTTTAAACTGGTTTCTTTCCATGTAAGTTGAATCCGGTTTTAAAAATATATCAAAGTCAGTTTCAGAACCTGATCAAAAACAGTCTAAATAAAAGTTAAAAACAGTCACACCAAACTGCGACCATTGTTCTCTGGGCCACCGGTAACAGAGATCCGAAATCAGAAATATAATAAACTTACTCATAGAGTAAAAAATTGCAAGTTGTGCATGATCTGTAGAACCTCAGCACCACAGTCAAGTCTGAGAATCGTCCATGATGACAACGAATCCTTGTCCATGGGTGCTTTAAATCGCAAGTTGCACGTAGAACATGAGCACCATTTGTCAGAAAATTTTCCACGAAAAACAGTTAATCTTAGTCTTATCCAGAATGCTCTTTGCAAGTTGTACACATCTACGTAGAACATCATGGTCGGAAAACCGTATAGCTAAAATCAATTCTAAACTTACGGTGCTTTCCCACCCATTGTCCATGGTCGCTCCTTAATTCTCTGGCGTTGTAACGATTCGAAGGCCTTCTTGGGCGGCACGAGGTGATCGTTAACCCCGTAACGTCGTTTGCGTTTCATGGAAGCCATGTAATTATCGTCGTCGACGGGCTCAGGCTGAAACTGGTGCCTGCCGGCATTTCTGAAAGCAGAAGAGTGGTACGACGGCCTGTTGGGGTTTTCCACCGTGTTGGAGTTTGGTGAGGGAGGCTCGGCGTTTGCTGCGTTGTTCTCCTCGAGAGCGATATTGTCCCTGTCGTGGAAGAAGCGACAGTTTTTGCCGAGAAAGCATTTCCCCTTCTTAAACTTCCAGCAGACTGGCTGATGGGCTGGCTTCTTGGGCGCTGCTTCCGTGAGACGGACGTGCTTCTCCAGGATCTGGTTCTTCGCCTGCTCCGCCTCCTCGAATGGATTGACAAAAACCGAGGTCCCGATTCTGGAAGTGGCAGCCTCGTTCAGACTGGGCAGTTTTTGTAGCTCCGCCGTAAGAGGATTGGGTAATTTCTGCTCCTGTTTGACGACCGTATTGCTTTCTGACGTTGCCGTCCCCTCATTCGACTCATCTTCACTATTGCTCTCATTCTCCGCTGTGGCAAAAAAGTTGGTGGGCTTTCCAGTCTTCTCTGTGGCGTCCCGGGGCTCTTCCTTGACCGGATCCTTAGGCTCCTCCTTGACACTGAAAAAAAGGAAACGATAAAAAAACCCATTTAGACAAATGTCACAATTTGCATCATTTTACTAGGCAGAATAAATTTACCACAGCTCTAAAATATGAAGGAAAACATGAAAACATGATTATGAAGTACAAGATCTACACCAATCAACGTAAGCCAGTTGACTTGGGTTTAAACAAGATGTAAAACAGGACAGGAAGAACCATGCCACCAGCATCTGGTTGTTGTTTTTTTTGGTAAGTGAGGATTACCCCCCCCCCTCCTGAATGCTTCACCACTACATAACAGTTCATAACATAAAAAACTACAAAAAGCAACAAATTATAATTTAATATAGGAAAAACTGTTGTTCAGTCGAGAGGATAGGAAGAGAATAAAAAATTTTAAAAACTTCCGCAACCGGGATTCGTTCCCGAGCTCATAAAATAATAATTGTGTGACTTGTAACGCAGACACACTGTCCATTCGACCGTCAGAACTTCCAACAGCGAAAGGTAGATTAAGCTTGATAGACTCTTCCATCTTGGGTGCCATGCGGGTGGCTATATTTAGAGGTAGTCAAGTGATCGGAAGGGTATCCCGATCTGACGTCAAACAAGATGGCCACCTTAGCTAGAAATAGTTAGCGTTGTTCTACGTTTAGTCGCATGTGACAAATAGTTCCTCTTAGTCTTAGTCTTAAGGTATAGCATTACAAGATGAAATGATAGCTAGATCTATATAATATATCTATCAAGACATGGCTGGATAGAACTTTGGTGGACCCAACATGTTAACAGCATGTGTGTATTAATGAGCACTAGCCATAGATAACAACAGTGGGAACTTTCAGGGGGGCACCCCCTGTTAGTGAGGGGTTTCACGGGGGCTTGCCCCCCTGTTAGTGAGGGTTTTCACGGGGGCTTGCCCCCCTGGCAACAACAATAGGCCTAAATACAAAAAACACACACATAAATGCAAAACAATAACAAGATAAGAGCGGACCATTGACCAGCGAGGCTCAAAACTAGTTCCGGCTTCATTTAGTATTTAGTGTTGGCGTTGGGTCCACCAAAGTTCAATCTTACCAAGACATTGTGTCTCTAATTTTAGTTCAAACTAATTTCCCTAGGTCCTAGGCTAAAACCATGTCACAAGCTGGGCCTCTTATATGATTATGATGATACTCAATCACTCAAATTGATAGTATAGCATGATACTATGGCATAGCCAGCCATCATCATGCATCATGGGGAGTGGGTCTTTGTCTATCACTTCAGTGAGGGTTTAACAGCAATGCTAAGCGGTTTATGGAAATAAATTTTCAAAATATAATACAATTTAAAACTTGAGCGGTGTAGATCTAGATGTGTGCATCAATGGGCGTGAATAAGCCGGTCAGTGTTCATTTCTTTGTGTGCTTTCTAACAGCGTTTACAGTAGGCCTACAAACAAGTGTCCCATCGCCATCAAGTCATCAGGCACAGTCAACAGCGTGCGGCGTGCCTGTGGTGAGGGCGTGCTGTTGAAGTCGAATGTTAAAGGCATTTTCAATACAAACAAGGCTGGAGAAAAGCTTATTAGGGCTAAATTAAGTTATTTATGCTTAATGAAAGAATTTTACCTGACTGTAGTCGTTGCAACTTCTTCGTTTTGATAATCTTCATCGTCACTGTCAGAGTAGTCCGCAACTAAGGACGCCATGTTTACCACTGGTACAAGTCTGATAGGTCTTTGCCAGGATTTATCCCGTTTTCCTGTAAGCGTTTAATACGTTCCGCGTTTGCTAACTCCTCTTACACTTTGCAATAGAGATCTATTCGAAAATTATACAGTTTAGGAAATACCTGAACACTATCGATAACAATACTAAAGATGCACAAACTGCTTGAATAAAACTAATAGTCTTCTGAAGAAACATTTTCTTTTGAATTGTACCAAAACAAGCACCAACCACCATAAGTCCCTATTTTATACTTCTGCTATACTTGCCCTACTAATATATAGCTTGTTCATTTCATTTGTGCGCTTTAAAAATTCTTCCTCATTGATTAATTTACAAAATGAGCTATTTGTATATTTTAAAAATAAATGGTTGGAAGTAACCTAGTCCATACTTATATTATCCCTTCTTAGTACACCACCACCACCCTGCCCAATTACGTTAACCGCGTGCAGATGAAAGTAAATAAGTTATAGAAGAGGATTTCTGTAAGAACTGTGACATTTAAGCAATATCAAACGCAAACAAAATGAAATGCTAATAGAATGTCCCCTCCCCCAGTTTTCAGTTGACGAATTTCTTCCAAAATTCTCGATAATACGTTTGATATGAGGAATGCGTGAATTTTGTTCTTTTGAAATTCGGCTAAAATAATAGAGTAGGAGTAGGCCTGTAAAATACTAGAGAAAAAGAGATTCTCAATTGCCACATTGTCATCTATGTTTTGGTTTGTTCCTAGTTCATGTTTTTATGAGTTCAAAGAAATGATTCCGGGTCATCACAGGTTACACGCAGTCTGACACGATTTAAATCACGACTTCTGCTGGAAAAAAAGAGTCGAAAGATCATCACATCGTAAAGAAAAAAAAATGTAAGATCATGTTCCGCTTTACAGGTCAATTATGTGCCCAACTGAGTTATTTTTGTGTCTATTACAAGGGATATTTGCAAGAAAGAACAAGAGATCAGCTGGTTTCAAGAAGTTCCCCTCCACCCCTTTTCCATGGCCTCTCACACCATTTCAACTTTCACTTTCTCACACCATCCATGTCAGTTGCTTTTTGGCTTTGACGAAGTAAACCTCAACTAAATTGAAGTACTGTTACTGACGAACTGAATGTTTCTCGGGGAGTCGATTGAAAATTCAATAAAAAACAAAGTGAAAGAAGACTCGGATGAGGAACCATTACAGGTGTCTGATTAAATTAATTGTATATAAAACATCCTTCTTGATTTTAGATTTTTAAAACAAATGAATTGGATCTATATTCTAGATGATCTACTTCTGATGTTTGAATATGTTTTCTTAATATGTTTTGCAAGAGACATTCTTTTTTTACTCCTCAGCCTACCCTTGGCCTTGACAATGTCTGGAAAAGTGAAGTCGAGATCGTCCGCTAACGCGGCAGACAGCGCAACAACTTCTCTCAATGAGAAAATTCTTAAGGAATGCCACAACTTGTATATCGATCCTGAAAATGGTACAGTTTTCATTGCCATTTTAATTCTTCCTTGTGATCAAACTTATTTATAAAGTTTATTTTACATTATATATTCTCAGTCTAAATTTTTACCATTTCATGTCAGTGTGGGCACTGCTCAAGACGAGGGATTGAACTTGCTATTCTTTGTAAGTCAAGTAACTGTTCAGGTTTCAGTCTACAAGTGTAACATTTGAAAGCATTGTTGGTCAGTCGTCTAGTACTGCAGGGGCTGACTGATGTAGATGCCTGCAAGAACTTTGAGTGAAAATGATGGGCACTTCAGTAATTGTGGCTTCTTGTGTGAAGCTTTTCCAAGATCACTTGTGGCTCCTGATACTGTCTTGACTGGTTAAGGATGGGTGATTGGTGGGTGCTCTGATGTGGTTTGCTCCTCCTTTCTTACCAAACATCTGTCGACCTTAAATCTCTTCTCCTCCATCATGTATATATAATGTCTCTCTAGTAACACTTTAGATCTTCGGCACATTTATGATAACCTTGTGAATATATGATATTGTAAGTGCCACAACATTTTTACTGAAAAACTGACTGGTAATGTGCCTGGATAGTGTCCTGTTTCAGTCTAGACGTGACACTTGCTTGTGCAAGTATGTCTTCCATGCCATCTTTCAGCAGCAATATAATATTGTCTCCGGTTAATAGCAGGCACCTCTGGTGACAAGAAAAGCGTGCTATAAAGTGAATTTTGAAGAAGAGTAATCTTGTGTAAGTATTCAGTCAAATTTAATAGACTAATATTGAGAAACATCTTGCATCTGATCTTGGATGGGTTATATCAATCAGGGAGCTCATGCTCTTACTGTGCTGGAACAACATAGGGGGAACTGCTGCTTTTTCCTTCCTCATCCTTACTGTCGTCATTTTTACTCTACTTCTTTTGTATGTTTGTCACTGTCTTGTGAAGTGCTATTTCTGGGGTGCCTTGACAGTCGAAGCAGACTTTGTGCTGTTGAGGCTAGAGAGGTGAGTATAGTAAGCCTGATTCGGCGTTTGGACTTCTCTGTTGACATTCACCCCTTGACGCTCATATGACCTAATACATTTTTGGCGAGCGCTGTAAAACCTTACTGAAACAAACCAGTCCTCTCGTTCTGTCTGCCCACCTCGCAAGGCTGATCATTAGCTTTCCTCATTGAGCAATTCTGTCTCACTCATAATGTCCCTCTATATGTCTTTTTCTCCCTTACAAAAAGCCACAATTTCAAGTAATAAATGAGGCCTGTACTGTCTCTTATACGGCCTAACACCTTTATGTTCTTATGAGGGCATCTGGTGAGTTAAATCAGCTGTCCCCACGCGGGCAGTGCTACTGACTGAAGTTGTCTTTAGGCCATTCCCAAAGGGAGTGATATTAACATGTTCTTATGCACAGTAGAATTGTAGTAAATGGGCTGATTTATCAATGTCAAGCTCATACTGTGCTGGAACAACATGGACGGAACTGTTGTTTTTTCCTTCCTCATCCTTACTATCATCATTTTCCTCTACTTTTTTTGTATGTTCGTCACTCTCCTGTGAACTGCTAGGGGTGGCCTGATAGTGGAAGCAGACTTTATGCTGTTAAGGCTAGAGAGGGGAGCAGAGTAAGTCTGATTCTCCGCTTGGACTTCTCTGTTGACATCCACCCCTTGGGACTCATATATGACCTTAGTTGCGAGCACCGTAAAACCTTACACAGTTAAAATTAAACTTGTTTGTTCATACCCTCCACCAGGGCTTGTGAAAGTGGCAGAAAGTCTTGGTCTGAGCCTGTTAGCTCCGCGCAAAAAGATCACCGTGCTTCTCATCGGCAACCACTCGGCTGGCAAGAGTTCTTTCATCAACTGGTGAGTCATTTTTCTGTCTCTCTATCTCCCTGTGTGTTGCTAACGAACTGTGTGTTGCTAACAAAGGGAAGAATTCAGTAACGAGCGACCATTATGAAATAGATAGAGTCAGTATGGAATAGAGGGTCAGAGCTACGGGTTAAGGTTGAGCAGGTGAACGTTAGGGATTGGGTTGCTGTCCCCGCGTTTTTATGCCTAAAAAATTCTCAAATTATGCAAGCTGAGCCCAAAAATGTGAAATTATGCGATTCGGTTAATTTTATCAAAGAATGATGAAGGAAAATAATCAGAAATTATGCAAAAAATGATCAAATTTTGCTAAATTATGCGCAGTACATAAAACCCCGGGGACGGGGTTAGGGTTAGGGGTATGGTCATGGTTAGGGTTAGGTGTCTTTTTTATTGTGTTTGTTGGGGTGGTCGCTCATTACGGAAAACCTTCCCTAACAAATACTCTTGTTGGTGAGAGTAATATCATTTTTATCGCTTTTTTTGTGACTGATTTATATCAACTCTACTTGCTTTTATCTTGACAGACCAATCACGTTTTCTATTTTATCGTTGTTTCCATATATGCCTTATATATTATGTCAACTCATGAACAATTGTTTTCCTTGTCTGTCAACATTCTTTTAAAGTTAAGAACTCCAGTGGCTATTTGGAGTTCGTCAGAGCCAGGTCACATTTCACTTTACGGTTGTTTGAAAATCCGTACACTTTCTGAGCTGGGAAAATGTACACTGTAGTGTTTCGTTTTGTTTTGGATGAAATTTCTTTCTTTTTTGTCGTTGATGCGGGGTTTATGTCTTAGGTTGTCAGTATACACTTCTCTGTCAATGAAAATAATTTTTTTCCCCTTTTTTTGTTGTTGTGAATGATACTTTCATTACCTGTTTGTGTTTTCACTTTGAAACAAGGGAAAACTGAAAACCGAAATTTTGCTTTTCTTATGTTAAATCCAGATATCTTTAAGATTTTTTCGTTCAAAGTGATGGCATATCAAGATGGCTTATGTTTTGAATTCAAAGTCTGATATCGATTTCCATTGGTTTTGTGATGGGGGTATTATATTGTATACGTATTGTGCGGCTTTATCTTGGGGAAGATAGGAAGTGGGTGATTGGTGGGTGTCCTGATGTGGTTTGCTTCTTCTTTCCTATTACACATCTATCATCTTTATCTCCCCTCCTCCTTTTTTGTATTTGTTACTCTCTTGTAACACCTCTAATCTCAAGCACTTATGTGACCTAATTTTGTTGCCAGTGCCGTAAACATTTACTCAAATAAAAAGGTGTGTGTGTGTGTTTGGCATACATGTGTGTGTACATGTGTGCGTGTTATGTGTGTGTGTGTGTGTATGTGTGTTTGTGTGTGTGTGTATGAGTGTGTGTGCGTGTGTGTGGCGCGTGCGTGAATATTGTTTGTACATGCATTTATGTAAAGCGCCTAGAGCTGTGTTGACACGGGAGTGGGCGCTATAGAAATGATCTTCATTATTATTATAATTATCATCATTGGCTTTCTCACCCTGCACCAAGGTATAGGCCACATACAAACACTTTCCACCTTTCCTTATCCTGGGCTCGTCGCTTGAAGTGGGTGGTTGGCGGGTGCTCTGGTGTGGTTTGCTCCTTCTTTCCTATCAAACATCTATCGTCCTTATCTCTCCTCCTTTTAGGTG